TGTGTGTGTGTGGGTGTGTATGTGTGTGTATGTGTGTGTGTGTGTGTGTGTGTGTGTGTGTGTGTGTGTGTGTGTGTGTGTGTGTGTGTGTGTGTGGGTGTGGATGTGTGTATACGTGTGTGTGTTTTATTTATTTCTTTATTTAGTTATTCCTTTTACCGTTGGTCTAGTAAAGATATTCTTTCGTTTTACTTTCGTATCACTAATGCTGTTACTGTTGCTCTTTGCTTGTTGTTTGTCACTGTCATCACATCGGCGTTGTTAACTTCATTACTCCCGGTTATCATAATTTAATTGATATAGCAACCATAATTAGAAACTGGAGCTTCGTCAGCTGATTAATACTGTCACATTTGTCCTCATTATTATTTCGTATTATTATCCTCGGTTTATAATGACGATGGTGTTAGTGATGACGGTGATGACAAGATTGATATTGATAATGATAATAATAATAACAATAAAACTGATAATAACGATTATAGCCATGATAATTATGATGATGATACAGTAATAGTAATAATGATAATGATAATATTAATAATAATAGTATTGATAACGATAATAATAATAATAGTATTGATAATAATAATAATAATAATAATAAAAATATGATAACATCAATTTCAACAACAACAGCAAAAGCGACAACAGCAATAATGATAATAATAATAATAATAATAATAATAATAATAATAATATTCAGTAATCATAGTAAAATATTAATAATATCAATAGATATTATTAATGAAGATGGAATCCAGGTGGATTTCGAATATGCATTGTGGGTTTTTCTACCATTGGTGATAGTACTAACAATTATGATAATAATCATAATAGAAACAACAGCTACAAAACAACAACAATAATAAAGATAATGATAATGACAATAATAATAATGATGAAATAATATTAACAATATCAATAATAACCACGATAATAATAACAATAATAATAACATTAATAACAACAACAATGATAACAAAAATAACACACAATGGGTATTATAGTAATAATGATAATGATAATAGTAACAACAATAACAATAACGATATTCATAATAAAAATAATTATGATAATAAAAATAAAACTATTTATCAAAATAACAATGAAAATGATGATAATGATAATGATTATAACAGTAATGTCAATAACAACAACAATAACAATAATGATAATGATAAGACCAGTAATACTAGTAATAATAGATATAATGACAATAGTGATAATGATAATAATGGCAATAGCAATAATAATAATTATAATGGTATTGATAATAATGAAAATTATGATAATAATAATACAAATTATAACAATAATATTGATATTAATAATAATAAAAATGTTGATGATGAAAAGGATATCTACCATCATTATTATTGCCATTATAAACCACTCAGTATCTTGTCATTACTCATCTGGCGATCGTGATTTCTATTACTGTTATTATACTTTAAAATTTATTTTTTACACAAAAGGCCATGTATCAGGTGTCCCATGCCTATAGTTCATTTATCGGGATTACATAAGAGTAGAGGCCTTATCAGCAACGCCAAATACAAATGCAATTATTTCACGTTTCTTGGGTGGAGCATCGACGCTGCGGGGCGAACGAGTTAAAAAGTCGAAACGCCGAAACAAAACCAGAGTCCCGTGGCACTACGCTCTCTGTACGCGTGTGAGAAATAATACGGTTAAAACGGCAGTTGAAATCTGGATGGCTGATACCCGATGCCATGTCGCATGCTAGAATTAATATAATTTCATTGTTCTAAAACAAGTATTTTACTGTATTTTAATAAGTTGCTTAGTTGATTTCCATATTACTTCTATGCAATATCATTACTGTTAAAATTATTGTATATATATGTATATATATATATACATATATATATCTATTGGTAGTGTTGACCATACATTATTATAATAGCAGTTACAATGAGAATGAGAGTGACAATGATGATAATAGTATAATAATATTGTGCGTATTCATCAGCCATGCCGACTACTTTTATATTTCGTGAGTAGAATCGATAGGAACCTTTTGATGCCTAATTCGACTTCTAGAAAAAAAATAATTAAATATCCTGATCACTTATCAATTCTAGTACTGATGTTATAATGATAATATTAGTGGTAATAAGAGTAATAATATTTTTTGTTGATATTTTCATCATTATTGTTGTTGTTATTATCATTATTGTCATTGTTGTTATTATTATTATTATAACATAATTATCATTTCCATTGTTGTTATCGTTATTATCATCCTCATTATTTTTATAGATCGTTAATACCATTTATGTGGAAAACAAGAGATATGTTAATATTTAAGTTTTGGGGGAGCTATATTCGAAGGATCACTTGCCTTTCAATTATACAAAATCGAATGTATTGCTTTGGCTGTGAATTTTTACTTCGACAGTGGTTATTCGTCTGCCTGCCTGTTGATGAACACATGTAGTATATTTACTGTTCTCGTTTTTTTTTTTCTAATTGAAAATAATCATATACAGACTCTTGTGAGTCACGTAGAGAAATTCAAACGATTACTTATTACTCATTTACCAATGCTACTTATCATGTCATTTGTAATAAGTTTTATTAACTCTTTTGAACCTAAACCATAAACATTTTACCTTTCTATATAAGCTTATACCATTTTCACATGCGTTTCATAATGGAATATACTTTAAACACTCCTTAAATGGTCAGCAAGGGTCGAGCATTCTGACGAATTCCATTGATATGTTGCCACGCTTGTGTGGGTAAAGCTTAAAAACTTGAAATCACTTGAAATTCGAAATCAGACAATTTCATCTAATGGCGAGAAATTGCAGGCGAGGCCTTACTTTACTGATCTCCGTAGACGAAGTCATTTTTATTCTAACAAGCTAGAGTAAAGCAAGACCCACGTGAGCTGAATCCTTTTGTTGTTCATGTTACATCCAATTTAGGTTCTACCTTCATAATCTCCAGGCTGTTGCCTATTACATCTCTCTCTCTCTCTCTCTCTCTCTCTCTCTCTCTCTCTCTCTCTCTCTCTCTCTCTCTCTCTCTCTCTTATTTTTGCTAGTATTCCGTGGGTACATTTAGTGGGCACGTGCACTGTATGAGCACAAACCACATGCGGTGTCCCCTATCAAGTGGTTGGTTACGTTTCACAATGACATGCAATGCATGTATCATATACATTGCATAATGACTTATTTAAGCCTCTGTGTAAAATATTTGTTTGTTTGTCATTCTAGCAATGACTAAAATAATTTATACATGCCTTTATATGCAGTTTCAGTAAGGGGGAATGTGGTAAATAAAATGGGTATATTAATATTTACTCATGAGTAGTTACTATTCTTTTCATGTTCGAATAAACCTTCACATGATTCTTCAATATAATATTGAGAAAATGGATCATAACGACTGTCACATATTTCTGTGATTTTAGCACTAATGATATTCATGCGAGATTGCCTCAATAAACTTATTAGTACTTCTTACTGTGATATCAAACACTGACGAATACACGTGGGAATAACTGATATTTTCATTCATAATACTTAAAGGCCATGTACAGGTGACTGAGGACTTTTCAGATCCAAATCTAAATTACTATTTTGGGTGGAGAAAATGAAAAGAAGAAAAGAAAAAAATGATATTTCAATCTTATTCATTCCCAGTTCTCATATTAATGCACATCTTGAACTATTAGGTTCATAGCAAAGTCCAGAAAAGTCCATCACAAAGCAGGGTATAGCATCTTAGACCATGTCAGTTTGCGAAGTTGTTTCTCGAAATCCTTTCTGATAAAGGCTAGAAACCTCCATCTGCCTAAGTTCCTTTTAAAACAAACAAACTTTTCTTTTTAGTGTAGTTGGAAATTGGTTAATGACTGATAATCGTGATTCATGTGTGACAAATAAATTGATGGGTAGGGAGAAGTTACTATTTGTTTTACTAGGAAGTTCCAATTTTTAGAGAACAGTCCGAAAATCATCTAATAAGTTGTCATATAGCGACATTGTATAGGAAATCGTATTTTACATTCTAACTTTAACAGTGCCCTCGAGAACGTGATATCCTTGAATGGCTTCTAAAAACAACAGAAAAAGAAATGCTCACGTGAAGAGAGAATCACGTGAATAATAAAAGTAAGCGTCCACACGAAGCTATGCGGTGAAATGTGAACTGTCGAAATAAATATTGGAGATACACAGCATCGTGGCGATTAAGAAGCCACAAGTGAGCAGAAATCTGAGTTCATAAAGGCTGTAACGCTACGAGTTGATACCAACACCATGCGCGGTTACATTTAAAATTTGTGGTTTACGGCCTTCTCTGTCCTGCGATGCCTTCTTTCGTTAGGAGGCAGTTACTTCATTTCATTTACTAAATATATAATGCAAATGGACCTTCTCCTTGGGGTTGTCCACACTGTTAAGTTCAACGACTTGCTGTGTTGAAATGTACATGAGCTTTAATTGCCAGACGTGAGGCAGTAATTCAGCATCGAATTCATACACCTTTGCATAAAGGAGGAAATGCACAGAATTGCACCTCCCATCTTTTTGTATGAAAATATTGAGAAAAAATATATATAGTGTCAACTTTAAGTATTCTACGAAAAATTGTGTATAAGCATATTCCTGGTTAAAAATAGTAGCACAAGGCTACGTAGCTCTGTTGCATATAGAAGGTTTCGTCGAGATGTGGCAGATTGCTCTCATTTTGTTATAAAAAGTATATATAAGTATTTTGGAAGCGATATTTAGGGAAGATAGTAGATGGTAATTTACGGGTCCAAAAGTAAATTGTCACTTCATATCCTTTGATGAAATAGTAAGAGAAATTGTGCTAATTCAAAATATTCCAATGAGGGGCTCTAAGGGAAAACTATATAGTCATCACCGCTAACTGCTCATTTCAAGTTCTTTTCGAAGGCAAAATACAGAGCAACCCCAAGAGAGAAAAACCCTAAAAGCAAATCCCTAAAGGAACGACCGGCGTAAAACAACAACAACAACAACAGCGCACGTGTAGCTTCCCGATCAGCTGATGAAGTAAACAACTTCTTTTCCTTCAACCTTTAGATAATGAGATAGTAGAAACTCAAGCCATTTCTACCTGCTGGTGAGTAGATGAGTATCTTTGCTGTCAATTAACATCACGCTGTACTTATTTAAGAGTCGAATTCGAACAGAATTTTGCTGTTATTTAGGAACGGCTTTTCCGGTGGTAATTATTATAATTTGGCCCCAGGAGCTTCCTAACCAGTACGCAAAGAAATAGAAAAACGGACAAGGATTGGCAAGATATAAAGAGCCCGACGGATCAAATGAGAATTTGTACAGAGACTTTCTTCTATCACATTGTCTTAGGATGCTGTTGCTAGGCAGCTCCCTACTCGGTAACTCCAGGTTCAGTTGCTGAATGGTAATTATTTTTCAAAGGAGAAACTATTGAAGCCTGTCCTTGACCCACATGCAAGGGCTTAGCAAAGCCTTTTGATTTGCAAATATTACGCAGAAAATTAAGTGAAGTAATTACTGTTCATGCTTTATTAATTGATAATGTAATGATTTAGGCACATATACTGAGTTAGGACATTTCTTATAGGGATTTTCAAGTGGGCTCTTAACTAAAGTGTGGGTTTTACTGTGACATAAAGGCCATAATTATTCACTTTGGATTATATTAAAGGGCAATGTACATGAGAATGCTGCTGATATCACACATATTTTGAGTAATAGTTAAGTTCTGGTGTGTTTGAGGTGTAATTCTAGTTCTTACCCAAAGTCAAGACCTCCTGTTTTCCATATAGAGGGAAAGATCCTATTACTGATAGCCTGTGGGAATATGCAATGAGCCTTTATTATGTAGTTTTGAAATTAGTGTATGCTTGTCAATTAAAGTGAAAATATTAAGAAAAAGGTATATGGTTTAAATTCTGTAGTCTGAGATAGATGCTGAAAAACAGACAGGTTTTGAAAATGTTAGTTTCCTGTATAAAATGAAGAGGTCAATGTACTTGTATTTTTTCTAAGAAGTACTTTCCTTTCTGATTTCAGCATTTTTATGAAGTTTTCACATTTTCTTTTCAAGGAAATTTTGTTTTTATATAGGCAATTCATAGCTGATATTTCACCAGATATCTTGGTTAATACGGAGAGCTTGCATCTTTTATTATTTATAGGGAAACTTTATTTTTTTAGCTTGATATCATGATATGTACCCAAAAGCCATGGTATGTTTTCTTGCAGACTATTGAAATTACAATCTCCCTCTTTTCAGAATGCCCCAGTCATGTTACGAATAGCAGTAAGAACATGTACAAATTTTCCAAACCAATGGCAATACTCAACAAGGAGGTGGATCCACACCTCTAGGGTTATGCGATCTGTTGTTCCAGTGTTTCGACGAGCTGAACAGTACCATGATCATGTAGCATTAACTGACCAGCATGGTGAACATACCTATAGTCAGATTTATAGGTTCAGGTACAGTGACAACCCTTATTTTTATCTTGTGCTATGGGATATTTAAAGAACAGAAAATAAATTTTCTTACAATATTTCATGTAAGGCAAGTTAAAGTAATTGTATCTTGTATTTTAATCAACATCTTAAAGTTTACCATTGCATTTTTTTCTCTCTCTTTTGCTCTTTTTCTGTAAGTTTACCATTGTATTTTTCTCTCTGTCTCTCTTGCTCTTCTTCTGTTCTTGGGGTTATGGGGCTATAAGTTTTTTTCCTGAGTCAGTGCTTCCTTTTAAACAGTGGTCACCTGGCTCGCCTAATGCAGGATGTCCTAGGAAAAGACAGAGTACAAGAGAGAGTAGCTTTCCTGTGTCCCAACGATGTATCCTATGTCATTGCTCAATGGGGAACGTGGATGGCAGGTCACATTGGTATGTAGTGTGTAGTAAAACATGTAAAACCTTGTCTTTTTTCTTTTCTTTTCTAAGAAAAACTAGTTGTACTATTGAAATTTAGTTCTTGAGTACTTTGCTGAAAATGTTCAGCCTAATAAGAAAAACTTGATATATGATTGAAATTTAGTTCTTTAGTGTTTTGTTGGAAAAATTCAGTGTGCTTTAAGAATTAGAATAATATGCACACATATTAACACTAACATGTGATGATCTGCTAAACAGTATTACTATTTTTATGATTTACAAGCATATTTTTCAGTCAATAACTTCACCAGAAAAGACTGTTGTTTCTGAACTGGTATTGTATTATTCATAGTCTGCCCCTGTCAGTCTTTTTATCCAGCCATCAGTTTCTGTCTGCCAGGCTTATGTTGTATGTGTAAGTGCATACATGAGTGTGGTAATATGTGTCTGTATATTGGTCTACATTGCTGCTGTTCTGCTTTATTTTCAAGTGAAAATCCTGTCCCTCCAAGTCATCACTCTTTTTTTTTATACAGCTGTTCCTCTGTGCCCAAAACACCCACATCCACAGTTAGACTATGTTGTGAAGGACTGTCAGGCGTCGGCTATCATTACCACTTCTGATTTAGCACACAAGATCAAGCCAATTCTCTCAGGGCAACAGGTAGCCTTTGTAGAAAACACTTGTGTCAGTAATCATTATAAAACTATGGATTATTCAAAAAAAAATTCTTGCAAATATTATCATAATATCAATTCCTGTCATATATATCACATGTCACTTCATACTACCAAAAATAGGAGCTTGTGTATAATGTCTGCCCCACTTTTCCCTTTCCCAGGTTATAGTCTTAGAAGAGTATTTTTATAAACAGTCCCCTGTTAGCAAAGAAAATGAAGGCAGTCCAGATGCAAGCCCTGAGTCCATAACAGAAGAGAGTTCAACAGCAGAGTGGTATGGCTTGGATAATGAATTTTACTCCTTGAGCGATGCTATGATTCTGTACACAAGTGGCACAACAGGACCCCCCAAAGGTATGGTGCATGTGTGCTTTTGCTGGTGGAGGAGCTGGTTTTTGAAGAAAGAGTAATAGTAGGAGTAGAATTAAGAGTTGGAATAGGAGTAGTAGGAGGAGTAGGACTAAGAAGTGGAATAGGGATGAGTAGTAGTAAGAGTTGGAGTAAGAATAGAAATAGGAATAAGAATAGGAATAGAAACAAGTAGTAATAGAAGAAAGAGCAGGGAAAAGAGAAAAGTTATGATTCAGAATAAGGGTGATAACAGGACTGATAGTAGGATTAAGGGAAAAAGGAAAAGAGAAAACACTTCACATGTTGGATCCAGGTGTGCACATGGACTAAAATCTGGGCATTGGGCTTATCTGCGTGAAGACTCTCCTGGGTGTGGCTTGTAGGCCTGGCTTACGTGAGACTCTTTGCCTCCCCTTTGCAATGTTATTATCTCTTTTTCTACATTGGTGATTTTTATTTTTCAGCCAATTTCCAAGGTCTCTATTTGTCATTTGATATACTGTATCAAGATGGTAATAGACTGTTTCCCTTGTGCAGACTCCATATCATCCCTCTAGGTTGTCTACATCTCTGTGCAGTAACAATATCATTAAGTAACATTGTATTATTTTAGTAATTAATATTCTCATTTTAAATTTTTTAGTAACACCCTACACTACCAGTCCTAGTGGCCAGGAAAAGGATCCTGAGCAGGGAAATAAGTGTCCTTCCTTGGGCTGGTCCTCTTCCAGCCAAGGTTCATGGATGTACACTTCACCCTGGTTTACTATTGGTGGAGATAATGCAAGAGTCCCCTCCTAAATATCCACTTCAGCTAGTCATCCTTCAAGAAATTTGTACACTCATGGCGAGTCATTCCATTTACGCCAAAATTTTCAATTTTTTTTCCCCTCACCCCAGCCCAAATTTTTCCATGATGGCATATTCCTGTCACCTGGCCCTCAGCCAATTGTTTTCATGATGTGACATTCAGGTCGCCTGGATCCAATGTATTAATGGCATTGACCATACAGATGACAATTATTACTTGTTTTCTTATCTGTAAAGTAATGTTCAAATAATTACCCTGTTCGCTTTACAGCAGTCTTTGATTTCAGGTGTTGTTTTGAGTCACAAGAATGTAGCTTCACAGACAAGTTGCCTGATCCAAGCATGGCGTTGGACCTCTAGTGATTCCATCCTGCACTGCTTGCCGCTCCACCATACCCATGGCATTGTCAATGCTCTTTTATGCCCACTACATGTGGGTGCCAGGTAATGGTGACACAGTGCTTTAATTATTACATTATAATTTGCTATTATTCCAAGTGCTTTAGGTATATAATTTTCACTTTCTATTATATCTTAGTGCTTCATATGTATAGTTATAGTTTTCCAGTAGTTCTACAAACTTCATTTGTATTCCACACATTCCAAGTTAAATGTTCAAACATTCTGGGCAAAGTTTTGAATGTATGCAAAAAATATGATTCACATGAACAATTTTACTGACCAAACTGTCTTTCCCTTTTTTATTTATCACATTCTCTCTAACAGACTGTATCTGTATGTGTATGTCTGTATTGCTGGTTGTTAAATTGTCTCTATTGCTATCTCTGTCTCTAACACTGCCTCTGCTTCTGCCTCTGTCTCTGCCTCTGCCTCTGCTGCTGCCACTGTCACTGTCACTGTCTCTGTCTCTGTCTCTGTCACTGTTTCTATCTGTCTCCCTCTCTCTATCCCTGTGTATATATGTATGCATGTATGCATGCATGCATGTATGTATATATCTATCTATATATATCAATATCTAGCTATCTATATATATCAATATCTATCCATCTGTATATATCAATATCTATCTATATATCAATATCTATCTATATATCAATATCTATCTATATATATCAGTATCTATCTATCTATCTGTCTACTTATCTATCTATCCATCTATCCATCTATCTATCTATCTTTCTACTTATCTATCTATCTATCTATCCATCTATCTATCTATCTGTCTACTTATCTATCTATCTATCTATCTATCTATCTATCTATCTATCTATCTATCTATCTCTATCAACACACACACACACACACACACACACACACACACACACACACACACACACACACACACACACACACACACACACACACACACACACACACACACACACACACACACACACACACACACACACATGGATATACACATCTATCAATCCAGATATTCATTTATCTCTCTGTTTACCTGTCTGTATATATATATATATATATATGTGTATGTATATATATATATATATATATATATATATATATATATATATATATATATATATATATATATTTATTTATTTATTTATTTATTTATTTATATATATATATATTTATATAAATCTATGATTTTATAATTGATTCTTGATTTACAGAGTTGTCATGTTACCAGAATTTTCTGCATCAAAAGTTTGGAGTCATTTGCTTTCCCTGGACACCCCAGTCATGTCACGAGTGAACCTCTTCATGGCTGTACCGACAATATATGCGAAACTGATTGAGGAATATGAAGATAAATTAGTGAAGAATACTAGAATGATAGAGTACGTGAAGGCAATTTGCATGCAGAATATAAGGTTAGTGTATATGTGTTTGTGCGGTGATATATTCTATGGTGTAGACTATAGAGATATGAATGTTTTTTGTCTTGATGCATAATCCTTTGTGAAGATATGTTTTAAAGTAGAATTATGTCGAAGTGAGTAATGACAATTTAAAGTCCAAGTTTCAATTCTATCTAAATGCTTGCATACCCATTTGTGATGGGTAACATCCAATCATGTTATGGTGAATATTTCATTGACACTGGGTAATGTCTAGTCATATTGTGAGCCTGGGTCTAGGTAGCTGGGATGAAGCCTTGGGTGTCTGGCTATGAGGTGGGGTGGGGTGCATCATCAGTGCAAATCTTGCCAAACTTTATTCAGAATTTTACCTGTTCTGAATAGGTTAAACACTAAAACATTTAATGGTGCCCTTTTAACCCTTATCTAAATTACCCCCCCCCCCCCCCCAAGGCTCATGGTAAGTGGCTCCGCAGCACTGCCTGTGCCCATCCTGGACCAGTGGAGGAACATCACAGGCCATACACTCCTGGAACGCTATGGGATGACGGAGATAGGAATGGCCCTGTCTAACCCCCTAAAAGGAACTAGAAAGCCAGGTCAGGATAAGCACATAAAGTGCCTTTGTTTGGTCATTGTATTTGTGTTATGAGGTCACAGAAACTGGGATGGCTTGCTCTAACCCCCTGAGTGAAGTTATGTATTCAGGTGAAGAGGTATATATTTTATCATATTTTTGTTAATGGAAGACGGACATTAGGTTGGTCCTCTCCTGCCCAAAGAAAGGAAGCTAAGAAATCAGGTGAAGAGGTTATGAATATTGAAAAGATTGCAAAAGTCATTTCATATTTATCATTTCTTGCTCAATTGTCTTCTTTGATATTAATTTATTCAGTTTTATAAGATTTGAAGTATTTGTCTTGTCAGTAATTTCAATGTAATAGTTGAATAATAGTAATAATTGGTAGTTTGTTTAGTTGGATATGTCAATTTTGGCCCAGAAAGTGCAACATTTTCAAGGCTTTCAAATCACTTTTTCTATTTTAAAGGTTTTGTTGGAACACCCCTCCCAGGAGTGGAAGTAAAGGTTGCCAAGTTCATTCCTGGGAAAGAGGAGTATGAGGTTCTTTGTGCTGGGAACAACCAGGGAACCAAGGTCTTCACTGATGGGGAGGTGAGATAAAAAGGATGCTGATAATTTTTTTCTGATTAGAAATACTATTTTATATATAAAAGTTGTATATACATGTGCTCACATGCATGCTATTGCATGTGCATGTGTGTGTGTGCGTGTGTGTGTGTGTGTGCATCTGTGTGTGAGTGAGTGAGTGTGTGTGTGCGTGCGTGCGCATGTACATGTGTGTGATAGGTAGATGTAGATACAGATTTATATATATTTAATGATTTTCCTTTGTTTTTAGTACACCATCCATAGGTGTTTGTCATATATAACATACTGGTCATGTTAGATATATTTTTGTACTTAAAAACAAAAAATTTAGGAAGTGTAGCAAACATTTCTTGTAAAGGAGCAATATCCTCTTTCTAATGTAGTATTAAAGTCTGCATGTATATTATAAATTTATGTAGTTACATTAAGATTTGTCTTTAAACTGCAGGCTGGTGAGCTTCTGGTAAGAGGCCCTAATGTGTTTAAAGAATACTGGAATAGGCCTGAGGCTACCAAGAAGGAATATACTCATGATAAGTGGTTCAGGACAGGTTAGTATTCTTAGCATACAGTATGGAACATATTTCATAAATAAGAGAGAATTGCATTTTCTTCCATATAAAAATTTGTCATGCATATATTTTTCCAAAAAAAATCTTTTATCTTCAGTGTATGTCATTCTTGATTTAAGCCATAAGCTGTATGTTCCTCACTTCCCTTTTTCCTTGCAGTTCCTCTCTGCAGTTATCAATCTTCATTGCCTCCTCCACCTTACCTTTCTTTCCTTTTCCTTTCCTTCTTTCCTCACACTCTCTTTCTTCCTCAGCCTCAATGTTTCTCTTTCCCTCTTCCTCTGTATATCTTTGGTAGAGTGAGTTGTTGCTAGATACTTCAAAGAATTTATATTTGTACATTTATGATAGGCATATTTTTGGCAAATTCATGTTTTAAGGAAACACAATTTGTCATATCAAAAGAGTCAGTAAGAGTCAAGAAAGAAAATATTTGAACTCGGCTGAAGTTGAGATTGTAGGTGACTGCTATTGAAAGTTCTTTTGACCTCAGATGTTCATTCTGTGAGGTCAACAGACACAGGTTATTGAATGAGGAGAAATAAAGGATGCTGGATAGTGCTTTTACCCTTGCTTTTATTTGTACTCTCTCACTCTCACTCTTATTCTTATTCTTATTCTAATTCTTATTCTTATTTTTACTCTTATTCTGATTCTGATTCTGATTCTTACTCTTACTCTTACTCTCTCTCACTCTCATTCTTACTCTTACTCTCACTCTCACTCTTACTCTCACTCTTACTCTTACTCTCACTCTTACTCTTACTCTCACTCTTACTCTCACTCTTATTCTTACTCTTACTCTCACTCTTACTCTCACTCTCACTCTTACTCTTACTCTCACTCTTACTCTCACTCTTACTCTTACTCTCACTCACTCTTACTCTCACTCTTACTCTTACTCTTACTCTTACTCTCACTCTCAATCATATTTGCACTCTCACTTACACTCTTATCTCACATATGCTTTCTTGTATGTAAAGACTTAGAGAGATGAGCATATAAGTGTCCCTTTTAGGATAGCATGTGGAAGGGGACACTATACACATAAGCTGAGCCAAACAAGAGCACAGTTGGAGTTGGAGTAGGAGAGTGGGGTAATAGTAACTGTAAACTCACAGTCACTTTCCTTCCTCCAACCATACTATTACCCTGACCCCTCCCTTTTGTGTGAAACCAAATCATCTTCCTTTTTTGTGCAACTTTATTTGCCTTCCTCCACACTTCAGGAGATACTCCACAGTACATGGCTGGAGCTTCCTTTTTTTGTGAATGTAACTTTATTTTCCTACCTCCACACTTCAGGGGATACTGCACAGTACATAGATGGCGCTTCCTTTTTTTTGTGAATGTAACTTTATTTTCCTACCTCCACACTTCAGGGGATACTGCACAGTACATAGATGGAGCCTACAAAATCTTGGGGCGGACTAGCGTGGACATCATCAAGAGTGGTGGGTTTAAGATCTCAGCCCTTGATGTGGAGCAGCACCTCTTGGATCATCCTCATATTGCTGAAGTGGCTGTGGTTGGGCTTCCAGATATCACATGGGGACAAAAGGTCTGTCTTAGAAAGAGAGAGAGAGAGAAAAAAAAAAATTGACTCTTTATAGTTATAGGTAGGATGATTGACTATGACATTTTTATTGGAAAGTAGGAAGATCATGCTAGTAATGATGGTGCCAATGATAACGGAAACGATAGTAGTGAAAATAAAGAGGGTGGTAATGATGATTGAAGTGATAATGATAATCACATTATTAATTCATTCACAATGTGTGCCTTCCCCTAACATCATAGGTGACTGTCTCTCATGCTGGCATGTTGTCCTGTCAGTTTGTGGCTGGTCAAATCTGCTCTAAATTGTATGCACTAGACAGTTTTTACTTGTTTTACCCTGGCTGTATTCATTGAGGAGAAGCAGCCTCTTTACCTAAAGTTAAGCATCTTTACCTAAAATTATCGTTTATGCCAGAGCCAAAAGCACTTCTAATATTTGAGCAACTGACTCTGAGCTTCCTTTGTTAGTGGGTTAACTACAGAAATGGTAATAGTGATTACAGAAATTAATGATGATAGGAATGGTAATGGTAATGATGATGGTAATGATAGTTGAAATGCTAATGCTAATGAGGATGGTAAAACTAATGAGGATGCTAGTGAGGATGACAAACAGTAATGTTAATGCTAATGAGGATGATTGAAATTCATCAGTTATCACCACCAGGATATATTATATCCTGTATGAAATGAGATATTTCATAAATAGAATTTTGAAGGAAGAAACATAAAATCACTAAGTGAGACACTATCCACATCAGTAAGTGTAAGGTAAATTTGTAAAATGCAACATAAGCTTTATTAAGTCTGAAGAGTAGTACAAGTCAAAGCTAAACTAATTTTTCTCTTTTCCTTAAAGGTCGCAGCTGTCATTGTATGGCAGAAGAAAGAGCCCCTTGATCTGGTGAAGCTTCGTAACTGGGCACGGGAGAGGATGCCCCACTATCAGGTACCGTCCGTGGCTATAACCATATCAGAACCCTTGCCACGCAATAATATGGGGAAGGTCAACAAGAAGCAGATTGTGATGGATTTCTTTCCAGATAGTATGAACCAGCAGTAAGCTGGCTTTGTGTGTTGAGGGTATGGGTGACTGGCTGTGAGGAGGTTCTTTTAGGGTATGAGTGGGATTTTGTTTGTAGGTGTGATATTGGCAACAGTTATTGTCCTTTCAGTCAACCTCAGGGTTGATTGAAGTTGAATTTAGTCAAAGCAAAGAATAAGATAATGTAGAGGCAGCTACTGTCTATAGAGAAAAGCAGAGCTTTGGTTAATTTGACAGTGTTACTACATTTTATTTTACCTTAAGGTACTGTACCACAGTTGAATGTTTAACTGATGCCAGTTACTCTTGTCAGGTATGGCTTAAGGTATATTTACTGGTTCTGAGAAAGGTCCACAGGTCTAGTTATGCTTGTTTCTTATGTGCTTTATTTTTTCTTCTTTTTAGTATAATGCAATGCTGATAAAGTTATTGTTCAGCCATATTTCCAAGTAGGTATTCTATGATATAAAATAAGGAATACTTCATGACATATGACTGTTAGCTGCTATTGGTGCTTCCCTGAAGGTGGAAGGTATCCATAGATCAAGGTACCTATGCATTCATGTTTTTCCTTTGGCCTCCTTCGTAGCTTCTGTATTAGGAATGTTATTGATCTCAGTTGGACTATGGAGAGACCAATATAAGTTTATTTTAGTTTTCAGCAGGAATCATCAGAACGCTGCATACATCAATATACTGTAGTAACAAACAGACTGAAGACATATTGTCAAACAAATATTACTGTTTGTCTTGAAGTACAGTATACAAGACCAGGAAATCATGTCTATAAAAGCAGCTGAAAGTATGCTGATTTTCTTCTTCTTCTTTTCTTTTCTTTTCTTTTTAGATTAACATGTGTATAGTAGTATAGAAATCATAGTTGGACAGTGGAAGGTAAATCTAACAGAAATATTCCAGAAGCCTTGGAGTGTAACATTTTCAGTTTAGAATTGCAAATGCCTTTGCATTGTGTGAATGAGATTCCAGGATTTCCCACCTCTCAGTATTTAAATATAATGGATTCTGTCTGTTCCATATTCAGTTTCAAATGTACTGGACTACTTTTTTAAAAACTAAGATATATATTTTATAACACAGAAAAGCCCAGTCACTGCTATTGAAATTGTGTTTAAGAATGAAGTGTAAGGAAAGTGCAACGATGATCTTACATACAGGAGTGTTGGTATGTACTGAAATTTCCTTGTTTATTTTCCTGTTTTTCCATATGACCTCCAAAAAGCCATACAACCATATTAAAAACAGCAGCTTAATATAGTACGTAGGGCCAGTTAAGAATATTTTTGGATAGGTTATCTATCTCCCATACTTTTTATGTTATGTATCTGACACTCATGCCGTGATTATTTAAACATCATTTTGTGTCTGTGAAGAAAAGGAAACAAATATAACAGCAACATTGTAGTTACATTTTAATTTTTCACTGCTAATTATATTATAATCTTATGATGTGCAATCAATTTTAGGTGCCTTAAAAATAAATGGATTTAGTGTATAAGACTACATTAATGCAAGGAAATCACTTTGGTTCCCCTTTTTCATTTATTATTTGAAAAAATATATATTGTATTATGAACCATGCTGATGTACAAAGGTTGACCTTTGATGTTTTTTCTGTTATTTTTATGATTAATGTAAATTATTTACTGATGTTAGGAGAGCTGGCTATGAGTTAAGGTGGGACATTAGTTGATCATGAATATTCTTTTGAATATGAAATTAAAAGTTTAAAAATATGATTATGGCAATAATCAACATTTTAAACATGTTTAGTTTAATTATCATATTGATAATAACGATAATGATATTGATAAAGATTCTTATTATTTTTATTATTATTATAATTATAACTCATTATATTTTTTTCTATAATAATGATAATAATAATAATAATTATTATTATTATTATTATTATTATTATTATATATTAGTATTATTATGATTATGATTATGACCTTCAGATTATCAGGAGAATTGATGGGTGTTCCTATGGCAGCAGGTGCAAATATCGAAGATTACAACATAGGGAAAAGTACTTAACAGGGAAAATAAAAAAGTGATTGGAGAATGCTTTAAGGGAATGGTGGTTTCTGAGATCTGTTACCATTAGGTGCTGGTCAGAATTACTTCTGTGGTGTGACTGCAGGTAAATAATTATTCTGCTGCAGTATAAAAGGGCACTAAAATCTGTTCAAGTGGAAAGCAAGTGCTACTGTATGGAGAACCAGTGGTACAATTTTAATGTACTGTATATGATTCAGTGATTGTGGAAGATGTCTTATTTATTTGACTCAAGGTTTTGTATGTGTGATTCTAGTGATGTGAAGAGTGATTGGTGATTGGGTTCTGAAAGATTTGCCATACACTATAAATTTTTTTTTTTTTTTCTTTTTTTTTTTTTTTTTTTTTACTTTAGTTAGTAAGACTGAAGGTGATTTTGTCCAACCCGAAGTGTTGTAAAACTATTGTGGAGCGAATATGTAGGTTGTAAAGCAGTAGGGAAGAAGTTGACATTTTAATCATAAATTGTTATATTGTTCGCGAATAATAACCAACTGAATTGTTAGAAACAGAGAGCAAAAGTATTTATTTTGAAAATAAAGTATC